ATTTTCCTTTTAGTTTGTAACTTTAATTAACTTTGAATTGAATTTTTCTTTTTAGTTGTAACTTTATTTCATTTTGCTTTGCATTTTCCTTTTGGTTTGTAACTTTAAAGGATTTGGAATTGGAATGCTTGAGAAGTTTAACTTTAATTGGAATGCTTGGAATTGTAACTTTAATTTTCTTAGGTTGTGAATGCTTGAGAAGTTGAGGAGATTGTGAATTTATATATGCTTGAGAAATTGAGGTTGTGTATTTATTTATTTAGGTTGTGAATTTGTATTTTTGTGAATGGTTGAGAACTTGCGGTTTTAAACCGCTAATTCGCGGTAACCGACCGCATTTTGCGGTTTACCGGTTTGCGGTTTCAAAAATCACCAAACCGCAAAAAGTCGGTCGGGTTGCGGTTTGAGCAAAAATTCGCGGTTACCGAACCGCAACCACCCCTAGAATCAAGAGTTGAAGCATCGGTTGATTGGTGCGTTCTTTCACTTATAATTTTTTTTTTAAATAATTTTTTTTTAAAAAAAAGGGCCTACTATAAAAATGGCCATACAAAAGCACCGACAATTCTTTGCTAATTTGTTTCTTTTGTTGGATCAACCTTGATTTGTTTAGTCAAAAAACAAGAGAGCATATACAAAAGAATCTATCAACAAACAAGACAGAGTAATCAAAGACCAGAACTTGAATATTTTAAAAGACATGATAAGAATAAAAATTACTATAGAAACAAAGCCCATGTTATATGCTCATATAGAAATCAGAAAGCAAATCTGGAATCCCATCAACAATGGCAGAAGTGGCAAAGAAGTACTACCTGCTGCTTCCATGATGTTTTAAAGCTTCACTTCTATCAGACTCCTTGGTCACCACAATCCATATTTCATTAAATTTTAATACCATTTTTCATTTTCTCTTTTCTTTTTATTTCAGGTATGCAGTTGTTACAGGTTCAAATCAAGGGATTGGATTTGGAACAGTTAGAAAGTTGGCTTCAAATGGAATCATGGTGGTGTTAACTGCTTTA